AACACTTTATTTAATTCGGTTCTTTGGTCTTCCTTGTCTGTAACAATCTTAGTACTTCTGTTCATTAGATTTTTTACCACATTAATTTTCGTGCTCTGTGAATGGGCTGAATTAAAATCCAAGTATCTCTCGGAATGCGTTGATTTTCTGTAGACATTTATTTTTAACTTATTATTGTGTCGACGTCCAACCAGACAATCTAGAAATGCTAGTTTGTGGTCAAATGATTCTAATTCCTTAGTTAGTTTAATGTTTTCAGAAATGCTGTTTGCATTGTTAAATAGTTCTTCCATACCATCCCGTTTATTGACATGTACATCGATGTTTCATTATCAAAAAATTTTCCACCTTGAACTTTATTTATTTATTTATTCCTTCATATCAATCTCTTACACATACATACATACCTGCACACTCACGCACATACGATTTGTTACTCAGTTAATTATTTCTATGTAGTTGAATTCTTCACATGATTTGTAGTTAACTGACTCATTTGATCCTATTTTACAAAAAATCAACATCCAAATATGATTGGTTTAACACAGTATAATCCTGATTGTTAAAAAGCTATATATGTCTTTGATAATTTTGATTTTGATTATTACCCTGAAGAAGTCCAGACAAGTTAGCTGGACGAAACGTTGGAATTAGTTATATTTCAATCGTTGAGAATACTTCAAATATAATTTTCACACATAATGACTTCTCTATACTCGGCGCTCAATTACTGTCAAACTATTCGTTCTAATCTTGACGAATATTCGTATAAAACTAATTACGTCCGCTAATTGCGTTCACTTAGGCAACTTTATAAAATATTTACCTGTCACAAATCTAATTACGGAGACAATTAAAAGTACCACCATAGTGCTTCTAGTGCCGTCCTCTCCTAGTATCTGTTGGAGAAACAAGTATTTATTACATCGTAACCATAAATCAAATACAATACTCTTTAAGCAAGACGGATAGCAGTGGAATTTAGGATGTGCGTTCCCTCCTACTTAGGTCCACCAGCCGGATATACCCGCATCCCGGAGTGAATACCAACTAGACACTATCCATCTCTGTTTAAAATCATTGTGACTTAATAGCAACATCGAGATAATCCACACAGGATGCATGTATGTTAATTACAGTCCTAAATATTAATGAGAGGCTTCAAACAACTAATTCAAATGAATTAAACGAATTGTGATTCAAACAAATGTCTTAGGAGCGAGATTGGTTAGGAGCATTTGGGAACAGATATGAACGGGAGTTGAATGCCATTTAGAACCTTGAATATTAACAAGTTGAATACTTATAAAACAGGGCTTTCGTCACAGCACTGCATATTTAATACTGAAAACTCTTTGCTGCAACCAAGCATATGACACTCAATGAGACAATTATTAATAGTCGGGAAAACCAACCAAATTACATCGTACCAATTAATCACAATTGGCCAGCCCATACATCAGTACCATCGACTAGTGTCATCTCAAAAATTTATTGATCGCATATAAGTTTGCGTTAGCCACCTGTCAAGAACTATCCAATATGCAACCCAGAAATCTAGACATAATTATTAATTCCAGTTTATTCTATTAATATGAGTTGTACAAACTTAGATCTCTTATTTTTCATACCTAACTGTTCTTAACAAGTATATAGGTGGTCAGGTTGTTCGAAAAGCATTATGCTAATATATTACATCTCAAAGTTCCAATAAACTTAGTCCTACCAGTGTATGGTGCTTTCATATTTACTGAAGAAGTTATCAAACATTCTTAAAAACTGAGACGATCTAGTTCGCTAACCAATACTGCAAAATAATTGAGGTCATATGGATTTGGATATCTTTTTCTATGATTCCTTGATAGCCTACCTAGTTCAGTGAACAAAAACCGAGTAGGCATTAGAAAGTCTGGTAGCAAAAAAGAATGAACATTTCGTTCTGTGTGCAGACTTTCAAAAGACTTGACAGGTTTAGGATTAATATCATAGATACTTTTATAAGTTCTTCTACAAATAACAACCACTTAGTGTAATTTATGCATTTATATATATAGCATTAATACCAGTATCATTATTAACAACGGTCATAGTATAATGGTCTTCAGATAGTACCTAAATGAGTTCATACATATTATCAAATTATTTTACACATGAACTTAAAAACAAAGTGCTGACAGGCTCATTTTTTATTCAAATGAAAAAAGACAAACAACTTTATGATGAGTATGTTGAAAGTTTGTACTCCTTTTTAAAAATTAATAGTAACATTATTACAATAAAACATAAGTTTTGTGTACGAAAAAGAACTAGACAACAGTTAAGATAACGTGTGCTTATATATATATATATATATATATATATATATATATATATATATGCCTATGTACAGAACAGTTTTAACCCATTAGGTATTAGTTGTCTATTATCAATGGTGATGATGGTGCCTCCGTTCTTTTGAATGAGAATCTTTATGTTTTTTTGAATGTGATCTATGCTTGGTTGATCTGTGCTCCTGCTGTGGTCCCTGTTCATGATATTGTTTATGACGACTTCGTTCATCATTTGCGTGATGATATGTCATAGAACTTGAAGTGAAATTAAGTTCGCCAACATCGTTACTACCGCCATCATTATCATCATCATCAGATAGTGAATGTTTTCTTTTCTTAACTGATTTCTTTTTCTTCTTCTCCTTTTTCTTCTTCTTATATTGTTGTTTCAAGTTATCTTTGGAATGATTACTAATACTACTACTGACTTCACCATCATCATCTGAACTATCCAATGTTCTAAAAAGCATTTTAGAAATATATATGGATAAATATTTCATGAAATATTATTTACAATAGCGTTTTATACAAAATTAACAGTTATGACTAATAACTTAATGTTATGAAACTCATTTATCAACTAAGTAAAAGTTAATGTATTCATTGTTGGGAGAAGGCTATTTGTTTGTGTGATGACAACAGTTATCTGGTTGCCCAGAATGAATTAGGTGGTCGGAGTTTCAAGTTGAGACCTACTGGTTGAAGTTTAATTCTTTTAGCCTCTAAGCAACAAACATAATAATTCTTAATAATTATTAAAATAGCAAGAGAAATTGTAACTGGGTCTCGCAAACAAGAACTGTTAATTTTATACAAAACTGGTAGTTTTACAGAAGCAATAACTTTAGCCTTCCAGTCAGATTCAAAAAGCTACTATTTGTATAAGGAACTAACTTATTCATGAGAAGATTTGGCAATTTTAATTATATCAATGCCCTAATTAGACGGCACGAAAACTGATCAGTTAAGTCAATAATTGGTATTTTATTAGTTACTGGATACACTTCAGACACTAAATATTGATAAGGTTTCATAATTCATTTTAATTCGAAACGCAACTACTCATAACAAGTTTCTTATCGATTAATCTTACATTTAGTTAAATTACTAGAATTATGTTTAAAAATGGTTGTCTGTAGTAAATATATCATATGTGATCTTTATTAACGTATATATTAACTGTTGTTCAAATAACAAGTGGATTTCGAACCGACGTTTACGCTACACCTTATACTAAATATCTAACATGAATGAAATGAAAAATATATATATTAATGTAATTAAATTCGCACATTCCAAATGTAGTATTCTTAGTGAGGTTTTAAAAATGTTTCCTGGCAGCAAATTTTAAAAATTATTAGGTTTTACATTCGCCTAATGAGGAATCCGTAGTTAAGGTACATGGTTTTCAACTAGTACATCGTATATTCTATCACCACTTTGACTAATTCGCTCTCGTCAAATGGATAATATAATTGGCCCCCTCATGAAAACATGATAACTCAAAGCTGAGTATAGAAACATATACGTGGTAAATAACAGTCATTAGTAATTTTAGGTCGGAGTATTTTTACAAAATTCAAGGCCGACTTGTTTTCTTCTGACTGACTGATTGGTCTAAGACAGAATATTTCTAATCCAGTCAAAAATAAGTATTTTTAATAGTTGGGATCATGAGTCAATTGAAGCTAGACTACAATGGAAAATGTGAGCACACGAACATATATGTGGTCGCTGAGTTACATTAACATCCACATAAATGTTGGTTATTTTATATGGAAGTTACAACTGATAGCTTTTATATATTTAAATCAATAACTTTGAAATATTATGTAAAATTATCATTTTTAGAAAATCATTGGAGGAATAAAAGAATAAAGGACCTAACGACATGAATACTCTAGCAGTGTGGCACATTAGTCACAGTGAGAAAAAAATATCAAGACGACTACAACCAATGTTAAGTCTCAATCAAACATCACTTGCACTGATTATTTGCATTTCGATATTTAATAAGATGTAAAATGATTCTAAAATTTAGTTACTAAGCCCATTGCCTATATAAGAAACTAATACAACTTTTAAAATGATACACTAGATATACCCACTAGTCTTTTTACAAAAAATTTAACATTTTTTACTTAACATAACTATTTATTTTTAACTTTTGTTAGTTTGATTATTGTTAATACGTTCCAAAATATGATTCAGAAAAGTAATGGTTTATTGATTTGAGGAGCTAACTTTTAACAATTGTCATAGATTCGAATGGTGTGTTGACTCACAGTAGTTTTAATATCCCCTGCGTAAGAGATGTGGCTTATAGCTTCTATTAAGCAACAATACATTAGAGATCATCATACTCGCCTTGTGTATTTTCAGAAATATGCAGTTAATTATATTCCAAGTAACCACATTTCAGACAACAAACACCAAACAGTTAAGGAAATGGCGTATTATTTCCTTATTAAAGATGAAGCAGACATGGGTATATACCAGATAAAAAGCAAAACACTTTAGGAAGTCAAGTGAATCCAGATGGTATAAACATAAACTACTTCGGTTAATGTTTCTCTGGCTACTGTTTTAAGAAGAAATCTCATACTTTGAACTTACAGTGACACTGCCTTCAATGTGATTCCAAAATGATAAGATATCAAGTAAGTATAACTAACTGTCGCTTGGTTGTTTCTTCGTGTACTGAAGCGCGAAACTTAAATCCCAATATTGAAATGACTGTTTCACATTTGTAAATAGCCTAGAACATAATCGTGGTTTAAAAGTTAATAATTGGACTACTGAGTAAGTGATGTACAAGAGAACATTAATTTCACTTGGAATTCTCTTATTTGTTAATCAGAGATAAGAAATATCCAGAATTTAAAGTGCATAATTGGAAAGCGAGATTCGTGTAAACAAATTGCTAGGCATGTTAATTTTGTCAAAAACTATTGTTATTAGTGGAAAAATAAGGATACAACTGTGGTGGGATGGTTTATTGTCCGGTCTTTTAATGTTCTTGGTCAGGGTCTGTAGATGAATGTAAGAAGTCAATAGATTCCATTTGATTAGTGGCTATTGCTCGGTTATATCTTATTACTAAGCACAATCAATCGATCAACACTGAATATGCAATAAAAAAATCCACGATAAAGATTTCATGGTCATTCTGTTATCTAAGTTTGCACTATGAACTCCATATACCTCCAAATGATCCATTGTAAATTATAGTACTAGCATTAGCTTACATACCTAATGAACTTGATTGAAGAATGGAACAACTTCTTGAAACTTAAGAGGTTTAAGACAAGTTCAGAATTAGTATTTCATTTGAATGAGACACTATGAATACATAGCTAGTTTCCCTCAAAGTAGCATAAATCATCTCCAATCAATCAGCATGAGGACTGTTTATATGAATATTTACTTAACTGTGTTATTCATTCCGAAGCGACATCGTGGTTTATTTAATGGATTACGATTTATGTTGAGATTATTTATGACTTAATTTCTGAAATACTTCATTACTTATGATGTTATAAGTGTTCCTACATGATAAAGTATCCTAGTAGTGATTTATTTTGAATCCTGAAATAAATAAAGTATGTGATTAGTGGGTTAATCGGTTGGTTGCAACGTAGAACCTGGTACGTATGTACATAGATTCAAGTTGCCACACCTCATTAGCACAGAGATAAGATTGTCAGACGTGATGGTTCGGTATGATCCAAATGTGGCACACGCGCAGTAGGTGAAGCTTGATGATAGACAGTGTAAGGTTAGAAGTTAGTAATTACTGTATGCGTTGTAACTATTATATCACTGTTAGTTTCATCGATTTGTTATTCTCTACAAATTCACAAAACAATAATTAATAGTCTATAATTTAGCCCTGTGGTTTGCTGGTTAAAACTCGTGACTTTCAACTCCCGAGTCATATTTGAAACTTTGTCAACATACTATGTAGTGGACAGTCATTTAACATCACTTGCTAGTAGAAAAAGAGTGAGTCAAAGACCAGTACATGAGTTTGCACTTGCTTACTAAGTTAGATCAGTTACCAATGTGTAAGACTAGTTTAAAAAACTGAATACAGGAAAAATAAAAAGCCTCATCGTTTATAAAAGATAAAATTTAATTTCGGCCGCTATGGAAATGCATCGTCCACTTAGTCTCCTGGACTTCCAGGAAGTTAATTTTTCAACTCCCTTTTCTCTTTATTATTATTATTATTTCAACACAAATATTGGTACAGAAAGGCACCAAATATATATGCGCCACACCATATTTGTGTTTGTGTGGGCTGTGACACTGCCTGGGTGCCCAGACATAAGCAGGTGGTTTTCTTAGGGGGCCACACCCCGAGCCTTTGACCTAAAGGTCTGACCCACAAGGCAGTGGAGCATCATGAGGAGATGCAGTCCCATGATAGCCGGTGACCAATGATTGGTTCATACGCCATTTGTTCCCTTAGGATACTGGAGCCCATAAGCACCATTGGTTTGGGATCCGGTTAAAGTGCCGGACATTCGCTTTTCGTCCTCTCATTTTCGTAAACGACACCCCCGCCACGAGAAGGTAGTGAGTAGGACTTCCCTGACAGAGGCTGTATACGCGTGGCCATGTGAGAGCATTTCGAGAGGTAAGGTGGGTCCACCCCACTCTCAGGGCCATACCAGGGCATTCTCTAGTCTATTGCTATTAGAATTGCCTTTATTTTGTCGCTCATTCTGACAGTTGTATTGTTAGTGGAGTATAAAACACTTGGAATTGTGTGCTTTCCTTCCAGTATGCAATGTTATCATTTCGTTTTATGGGATATCTACATACAAACTGAATACTCAGCAGCCCTACAGTAGTCATTCTTCTGTAACCAGCTAGCTGTTAACTGATAAATTAAGTTTATGTCGTGAAACCAATAAACACCCTTAAAGTAACTCATTTAAAAAAACAGGTCCATGTAATTTGGTTTAATTCACAGTGTAGTTATATGCAGACTAATCACTACTCGAATGTCAGAACCGAAGTACGTGGAGTGGAGTTTAAAATCAAGATCTAAAAGTGTATTGACTACAGTTGTTACTGCAATAAATATCCTAAACAGAACTACTTCGTCCCCTTCAGAGATATTTCCAGATCTGTTACATATTTCACTTGTCATGTGTGATTTTTTCAGGTTTTCCTAATTTCATAATAGCTTTAGGTAGTGACTAGCTAGGTAATGTCCCTTAACCTGGATCGATTTAAATTCATATTACACATGTCCGAATCTTTGTCAGCCCTAATTATTTACAGTGATAAATAGGACTCATGAGCTTCAGAGTTAATAAAAGTCCTAAGACCGTGACTGAAACACGTCGTACATTTAATTTATGGTTGATTTAACACACCATAAATGCATTTCTTTGAATAAGAATTACTCCACTTGTAGCTCTTCTAGGGCTATTGCCGGTCTCAAGCTCGGGTAAAAGAGGTTCGAGTAGCCCTAAACGCCCTGATACGGTCGAGGGTGGGGACAGTCAGCTCTCCCTCTTAAAATGCTCTCACATGGCCACGTACATACAACCACTGTCAGTGAAGTCCTACTCACTGCTTTCTCGCGGTAAGGGTATTGTTTACGAAATTGAGAGGAAGAAAGGCGAATGTACGGGGCTTTAACCGGGTTGGTGGATATGAAGGATCCACCTAGAGAAGCTGTAAAACCTTGATTCCAAACCAATGGTGCACATGGGCTCCAGGATCCTGAGGAAAAAATGGCGTATGATCTTTTCGTCGGTCACCCGATACCGTGGGACTGCATCTCCTCACGTTAGTCCACTGCCTTGTGGATCAGATCTTTAGGTCGAAGGCTCCGGGCGTAACGTCCTAAAAAACCACCTGCTTCGATCTGGGCACCCGGGCAGTATCACAGTCCACACACAAGTCAAGTGACTTGTGTAGTGCATATATAATCGGTGTCCCTTCGTACCAATATTTCTGTGTTTAAATAGGGCCGAGTGCAAAGTCAGTAACCCGACTCCGTAGAAAACAACCATGCTAAAACACGCTAACCAGAATAAATAATTTAAACCATTTAGACTGTCGCCTCTGAGTTGAAGGACCTTCATTCGGAATAATTATGACGCCTCATGATTAAAGCCGATATTCTTCGGAAGTCATGAGACCGATACCCGTTCTAACAACCAGAAAAACGACAATAAATATGGATACATGGAATGTTCGGACAGTGTGGGAGACCGGAACAACCAACTAAATAGCTGCGGAAATGGGGAGATACAACTTAGAGTTTCTAGGAATAAGTAGAACCCATTGAATCTAAGCTGGATAGAGAAGGATAGATACGGCAGAGATGCTGCGTTACTCCAGTCACGAAGAGGAAAATGTCCCACACATTCAGGGAGGGGCTCTGATGCTGTCCAAAGAAGCACATTACGCACTTATACGATGGGAATCTCACGGACCCAGGATCGTCAAAGCATCCTTCAAAACAAAGAAGGGGGGAATTACAATGAATGTTATCCAATGTTGTGCAACAACCAGTGATAACAATGACGACGATAAAGACCAGTTCCACGAGAAGCTGAAATCGATCATGGCGAAATACCCAGGAAAGAACCAGACCATCCTGGTGGGAGATCTAAACGCTTAAGTCGTAATGCACAACACCGGATATGAAGATATCATGAGACCACATGGATTGACTGGGAGAAACGAACGAGAATGGTGAGAGACTTGCAAATGTACGTGCACTCAACAAACTGGTTACAGGCAGCACAATATTACCACACAAACGCATACACAAAGTTACATGGGTATCACCAAATCACTACACAGAACCAGATCGACCATATTTGCATCACCAGAAAATTCAGGTCAATGGAGGAAATGAGAACCTGGATAGGAGCTGACAGCTTCAGATCACCACTAAATGATGGTTGCCAAGATGAAACTGAAGCTAAACAAACACTGGACAACTGGGAAAACAGTATTACAAAGATTCAGTAGATACTTCCTTCCAGATACTGACAAACTCAACCAACTCAAGATAACTCTCAACAACAGGTTCCAAGCATTACAAGATCTACTCAAAGAAGAAGAAACTATGATGGAGGACAATTGGAAATGGATCAAAGAAGCAAATTTCGGGAGGTTGTGGGTCGCAACAAGCATCATCATCTATGGGAACCTTGGACAAAATTGAAGAAAGGAAGAACGAGAAGACAGTAATTAACAACAGCCGAACAAGAACAGAAGTCAAGGAACAAACTGAATGCACTGAATTAAACAAGCAAGTGAAGAAGAGCATTACTGTCCTCTAATGGCGGTATCATTACGTCATACATTAATAGGACACAGGTCAAGTACAAGTTATAACACCGGTCAAGGAGAAATAAGGCAAAACAATCACTGAAGTTCACGAACAAAGGAACAGATGGGGAGAACACTTTGAGGAACTCTTCAAAAGGTCAGCTCCGTGCAATCCACCGCACATCAAAGCAGCACATACAGACCTTCCTACTGATTGCACTCCACCAACAACGGAAGAAATAAGGATGGTCATCAGACAAATCAAGAGTGGGAAACCAGTTGGACCCGAAAACATACCAGCTAAAACACTCAGGTCACATATAGAAGTAACTGAAAACACGCTTCACGTTCCGTTCAGGAAGGTTTGTGAGAAAGAACAAGTATCGACAGACTGAAAAGAGGATAGTGTTATATCCTAGCGGAGATTAAATTATGGGTAACTTCTGAGAGCTATTAATGGACTAATATTATGCATATATTTTTATTGTATAACTATTAAGTAACTAGATTATGTATAACTATACTCCTCTTATTATAGGTTCTATTTTGATCCATAGACTATTATTATACGATTTAATATTCTCAAGTTACACGCGGTTTATTAATTACAGTCTCCCACAATCAGTCACATTTTGGCTTGATCTTGTACAATAGCTATTTTTACTTTATGGTAGGATGTGGTCTGGTTTGCTTGTATGTAAACCAAGTATGTTTGAAATAAATGAATCGCATAGTGGGAGCTGATATCGGCGTTCTGAACTTAACAAGCAGGGCTAGGCAGGAAAAAGGACTAGTGAGGATGCTAGGCTGCTCATACCGATCAATACATCATTGGTTTGGCGCAGTGCTAAGATCACATAAGTCGTATTCTGATTGATGAATCAATCACGTGACAATCAGCCGGAGAAAAGTCACAACCGCGACCTGATTAAGATACCAAAGAAAGGAGATCTGAGAAAATGTTGGAACTAGAAAGGCATCATACTACTGTCGGTACTAGGGAAAGTTTTCAACAGAATGTCGCTGAACTAGATGAAAGATCCGGTAAACGGCCAAATTCAAGATCAACAGACCAGATTCCGTAAGGACCGTTCAAGCACTGATCAGATAGTGACACTATAGATCATCGCTGAACAATTAATTGAATGCAACTCGTCACTATACATCAACTTCACTGACTATGAGGTGTTCGACTGCGTGGATAGGAGAACCTTATGGAACCTTCTTCGACACTATGGTGTACCTGAGAAAACCATTAACATCATAGAGAGTTCATAGGACAAACTACACTGCAAAGTCGTGTATGGAGGATAGTTGACAGATGTATTAGACAAGGCTGCTTACCTCACTGTGGGAGAGAACAAACCAACTTCCAACTGAAGAGAAAATTAGGGAAATTTGCTGGAGTTTGATAGAACATACATTGTGGAAATCATCAGACTGTATTACGAGGCAAGCGCTAACTTGGTATCCTGAGGATAAACAGAAAAGAGGGAGGCCAAAGAACTGATTGTGCCGAGAGTCGGATGCACACATCAAAAGGATGGATAATAATTGGAAACAACTGGAAAGGATTGCCCAGGACAAAGTCCGATGTAGAATGCTGGTAGGTGGCCCATGCTCCTCCACGAGGGTTGACAGGCGTAAGTAAATAAGCAACGCTATGACCCCAATACTTAATATGACATCCGTTTATTGAGTGAAGGAAACTAAAGTAAAAAATCACAGAAACATGTACCTAGTATCCAAATCAGAGTTCAAAACACCAAAGTGTTGAGTAGTGTATTACAGGATATTTACACTAAAAAATCACAAACATACTTCATCTCCTTTTGCGCCTCGACTAGACGCTTCGTTTCCGCGTCATCTTTTTTTCGCTGAACAGCCAACTCTACGGAATTCCCATCTTGAAATTGTTCCCCGATTCCCAGGGCCTCTTTGAAAATTGTGTTTTTAAGGATATTTACAGCAGCATTTTCATGGGTCCCTTTTGGTAGCAATTTACCGTGTTCAGACTGAGAGATTTCGAATGGCTCCACATTGGGAGTCTTTTTTATTTCGGAGGCCTTTAACTCATCCAGCAACTTTTTGCGAAACCCATTGACCCTAAATTCGATTTCGCTCTGCGTGTAACTAAAAAGGAAATGATTACGAAAGAAACCTACCCTTGTTCCTCCATTTCTTGTTCCATCTCAAAACATTTCACTTCAATTTTTCGTTTCCGTTCATGCTCTAGTATTTCTTTATTTGGTTCCTTGAACAGCAGAGCATCTGCTCTCTTGATATCTTCCTCTGTTTTGTAAGGGTTTTGCTCTTTGAAATTACTAATGAAGGCCAAATTCTTCTGAACATATCCATTCGTCCCACTGCCTCGAGGAGTTGGTAAGCCTATCCCATTATACATTGTACTTGGAGTACGTTGTGCTAAAGGGAACTAATGCAAGTGTCAGTTCCACGGTGGAAGTTTAACCTTTCACCACGAAAAGCGAGACAGAAAGCAGAAGAAAATGTGGACAGGCTCATTAAATATATAAGACCCATAAAAAGTAAGCCATGAAGGCAATCACATAGTGTACAATGAAAAAACCTTGGTGTGAACTTCAACAATCACATCGAGATGTTACAAATGAAACCTTAGATAGGTCACATAGCTCCCTCTAATTTTGCATGCATTCGAAGTGTGTCAATTTTAAAACCAATGTGTGGTTAGTGAATCATATGAATTGTTCTACAGGGAAGCTAGACCCCTCTTTTGACTCCAGTATTGTTGCCCAGTTAGTAAACTCCCGTCCGATTTATTGGTACCCATGGAATGTGAGTAAAAACCAGCAGGGAAAAAGTACATGGGTGAACCAATCAGATTTCGACGAGCAGCTATCGTTGCATCATAGCTGATGTCATCTCGCGATAAAAGCCTTAATCACTAATGTATGGGAATAAGTTGTTCATATAAAAACTGCTTATCAATTCTAACCGCACTTCTTTACCATAAACCGTTTCAAAACGAAAGTTTCCAACGGCTAAAACGCACGACTAACTAACCAAAGGTCATTCATTTACTTAATTTCCACGGGAAAATTTAGATTTAAAAATGAGATCCTACCTGAAAGTGACCCAAACAAACTGACGGAATATACTCACTTAGATTAATTGAAGCCAACGGCAGAAACCACAGTGACAAGTAAGCGACGTTGTAACTAAACTAAAATAACGCGCGCACACCAAACAATTGATACAAACTCAACTTTCTACTGCCAATAAGCTGAAGTTATCCGACCTACTGGTCAGGTTTGTGTAGTAATATGGTATGTGTGCCACATTCTTTTTCCTTACAAGCGATGATGAATACCGTCTGTTGCAGCGTTCTGTTTTAAATAATTTACAGCTTCATGGCAATTGTTGGTGTTTTATCTGACCTAAATATTTTTATCTAGGGCACATTCTTATTATAAGTGTTATTTTGTGGAGAAACATTAAACTCATTCTGGACTCCGGCAGGTCTGATGCGTTGTATATCTTCAAACTCTAGTTATCATAAAGGCATAACAAATTGTTTCACAGGTTATATGTTGTAGTTTGGGCTCTAGAAACCTCAGTATTTGAGGTTTGCTATGAAGTTTATCGTTAATATCCTAGACAGCTTTTGGTATTTTTCAATATACAAATTAAGTTGGTTTGCTTGCAATCTTGAAGAGACTGATGTATCCTAGTGGATTCGATCTCGAGTCGCCTGGCTTCTTAAACATAGACAATATCACTGAGCTTTCTGGGCCGCGACTAAACTACTACTGGACTGAGATACACCCACAACTGACTGATCACTATGTAGCAATCTGTGTCACGTTTGTCAAGTCCTGCCTCAGAGCTGATTGAATCCTGTCGATCAAGTTCGAGTGCTGACACTAGTCTAATGAACTCCACATCACATAATTACGGGTAACCCTTTCTAGTGAGTGACAGTTGACATGGAGTCTAGGTTCATGGTTTCATGATAATTAGCCATGACCAAAAGTCTTTAATTATCTAAGGAATACCTAATTTAGTTTGCTAAAGATACATAAAGCTTTTTCCATTATTGTAGTGTTTGATGATGTCACAGGTATTCAGTGTTTGACAACGCTTCTACCAGTAACACCTTCTAATATATTTCGTTCCCACCCAGAGAAATCAAAAGACAGAGTCGAGGAGATCGGAAGAGTATATTTGGCGATGACCAATATATCGGAATTCTCTGATTTAATCTGGCTAGCGATTGCGGTTGATGTTGAGCTCGGCGTTACCACACGTGATCTGGTGCGGATGCAAGACCAAGCGCCTTCAGCTAGATGAGTCCACTAAAACATATGGTCAGCATCCAATGTCGAAAACTTAGGGCTATTTATTTAGGGGATTTATTTACCGCTACAGATCACTCCCCCCCTAGTGGGGCAGTGACGACCCTAAGACGTGGCCAGCCAGAAGTTTAAACCCAACGAGTTTGTCGTTGGTAAACACTCTTCTGATAGCTTACTAAATTTAGCAGCGTCTGGTCGTCTTTCCTTACTTACGGAAGTACAACATAGTAAAAAAAGAAAATGTACAATGAAAACTTCGGATCCTCATAAACGTCATCGTTCTTTTTCCAGCCGTCCTGGAAAAGAAAAAAGAAAATGTAAGTGTATGTCGAAAATACACTTGTATGTGCGTAAAAACACAATGTCGGCGGAAAAAAAAGGAAAATAAACTCAAGCACACATAATAGCGTTAAAAAATGTTTTTTTTGTTTTGTTTTTTTTAGTAAAAAAATATAAATATATAAACATATTAAAATTCTTTTTTTTTAAAAAAAATTATATATAGTAAAAAGAAAGATGGAAATAATATAAAATGTCGATTAGTGCTTTACGTGCAGTAGTCGTTTAAATGTTCTGGAAATCTTACTCTTCTTCCAGAACGCGTCGTTTTAGGTTTATTTTCAGATACATGCGGAGTATCATCGCTAGTATTGGTTGTCGGTTGAGGAATTATGAGTGGAGTCGTGTCGTTCGATTGTAACGAAGGAAAATCGACGTAGATAGGATTTCCTTCTAAGTACGCTGCTTTGAGGCGATCGATACTGATGCTATCGTTGGTTCCGTTCTTATCGACTATATAGTACTTCGGTTTGCGTTGAAGAACTTTGAAGGGTCCTTCGTATGCTGATTCGAATGGTCGTCGATACGAGTCTCGACGAACGAAAACGTGTGTACTATATCGTAAGTCAGGTTGAACGAAAACATCAGTTGATTGAGGTCGAGTGGAAGCAGGTTTAACTGAACGCATCGCGTTTGTAAGCCTGTTCGTGTAGGAGGTTAGATCCATGTTCATTGAAGAGGATGAAGGATCCACGAATTCTCCTGGAAGTCGAAGTGTTGTTCCATAAACGAGTTGAGCTGCAGTGTATCCAATGTCAGCTTTCACTGCATTGCGGATACCTAGTAAGACGAGTGGAAGAGCGTCGGTCCACTGCGAAACGTTTGCAGCTGATAGTGAAGCCTTCAGTTGTCGGTGAAAACGTTCTACCAACCCGTTTGCTTGTGGATGGTAGGCGGTCGTTCGGAAGCCAGTGATTCCTAAAAGTGTGGTCAGACGACGGAAAAGTTCAGATTCAAACTGACGTCCGCGGTCTGTAGTGATGGTTGAAGGGCAGCCGAAGTTTTCTACCCATCGTTCGACGAAGGTGCGGGCCACTGTTTCAGCAGTGATGTCCTTGATAGGTACTGCTTCTGGCCATCGAGTGAAACGGTCTACGCAGGTTAAGAGATAAGAGTATCCATTTGAATCTGGTAACGGTCCTACCAAATCCAGATGAACATGGTCGAAACGAGCATCGGGAGTTTTAAACGAGCCTAAGGGACATTTATTGTGTCTGATAACCTTAGATTTTTGGCAGCTTACACAGGAGCGTGCCCACTCCCTCATGTCTTTATTCATTCCTGGCCAGCAAAACCGTTCTGCTATAAGCTTGATGGTTGCACGAACACCTGGATGAGAAAGTTTGTGCAATGTATTGAAGACATTGCGTCGATAATGTTTCGGCACGATTGGGCGATCCCTACTTGTAGATGTGTCACAAAGTAAGGTTTCCTTACCTGTTCCCATCTGTTTGATGCGTAGTTTAAGTGTTGTGGACGATAACTCGTGCTGAAGATCACTGTCTTCTTTTTGAAGCTCGGCGAGTTTAAGAAGGTCGATTCCTTGGAAACTGTTCAAGGAAGTTATGCGAGATAAAGCGTCTGCAACTACATTGTTTGCTCCAGAAATGTGTCGAATGTCTGAAGTAAACTGCGAAATGTAGTCCAGTTGTCGAGACTCACGGGGAGAGTACTTGTCTGTAGGCGAGCTTAACGAGAAAGTGAGCGGTTTATGGTCCGTGAAAAGAGTGAATTCACGACCTTCGATGTAGTGTTGAAAATGCCGTACAGCACAATACATAGCTAGGAGTTCCCTACCGAATGTGCTGTACCTCGATTCGGTGTCTAGCAACCTTCTAGAGAAAAATGCCAAGGGCTGCCAGGAGTTGTTAACCCATTGTTGTAAGACTCCTCCGATTGCTGAGTCGGATGCGTCTACTGCGATGCTAATGGGTGCTTGGGTGTCCTGATGTGCGAGCATTGTTGCTTTAGCAATCAGTTCCTTAACTGTGGAGAATGCTTTTCGTGCGGTGTCGTCCAAATTAATGGATTTCGCATTTCCACGAAGTTGGTCGGTCAGAGGTTTCATGAGTAATGCGCATTTCGGTATGAAACGTCTATAGAAACTTACGAGGCCGTTAAACGTGCGTCATTGCTTGACGGTGGTCGGTTCTGGGTAATCCAGAATGGCCGCCACTTTGGTCCTAAGAGGTCGAATGCCTTGAGCATCGATAGTGTGTCCTAGAAAGTCTAACGAGTCGGTTCCGAATTGGCATTTCTGAACGTTTACAGTAATGCCATGTTTTTGTAGTCGTTCGATAACAAGATCCAGATGCTTGAGATGTGTTTCTCTGACCGGACTTGCTATTAGACAGTCGTCAACATACGCATGTACGAAGTTGAGACCTCGAAAAACGTCGTCTATGAATCTTTGGAATGTTTGAGCAGCATTCCTTAGACCGAAAGGCATTCGCAAAAATTCATAGAGTCCGAAGGGAGTTATGATAGCTGTTTTCGGTATGTCGTCAATAGCCATAGGTATTTGGTTATACGCTTTAACCAAGTCGGTTTTCGAAAAGATAGTTGTACCTTTCAAGGTAGCTGTCAAATCGTGAATGTGAGGCAACGGGTAACGATCGGGAATGGTTTTCGCGTTCAATCGCCGATAGTCACCAGTTGGACGCCAATCGTTGCTGTCCTTTTTAGGGACCATGTGCAATGGAGATGCATATGGGCTACTTGACGGTCGTAT